AAGGCCTTCATCGAAAGAGATTGCAATTAGAACTAAGACAAAGTTAGCTAAAGAAAGGGTTCTGGTAGCCAAATAATAAGATAAGCTTCCAGACAATGTACACAATTAATTGGAGCAAGTTGTGTTTGAAATCAGTGAGAGGTAATTAATCTCTGATGAATCTCAAAAAGGAGAATAAATATACTGAGAAAAGCCATACCAACCAATGAGTCTATATGGTACCCAATTTTCCTCAGAAAGTGGGATAAGTGGGGAAGTCATTCAATTGTTAATAACAGAATTCTAGGGTTTGTTTAATTGATAAAATATCTTCTCCTCATTGGATAATTCCAATGGTTAATATAGTTTTCCTGAGATAAAACTAATATTTTATCTGCTCAATTGATGCTTCCACACCAGATCTGAGGTCAGAGTGTGAGATGTAGGAATAGAGAGACCTGAAACCGATGCATGTCTCCTGCTCCTGGGGAATATCTCCTGCCTAACGAGACGCTCACTTTTTACCAGTATGTCTTCAGGAGAGCTTTGGAGACTTGAAAAACCATAATTCTGCATAAAGAAATACATTATCCCCCATTTTCTTGTAAATATCTTTGCACATTTCTCATCCTTGAACTGTTAAAGAAACTGAACATGTCCTGTAGGTATCTTTTCATGACTCTAATAATCATCCTATTGGGACAATCATGCATAATCCATCCAGGTAGATCTCTCTTACCTACTCTCAGACTAAGTTAAATGATGCCAGCTCCCCACCTTTCTACTCCAAAGAAACATATTTTGCAGCCATTTTCCCAGTGTACCATGAATGTCTGTTTATATGTCTTCCCCCATGTGAACTTCAAGTTTCTGGAGAGAAGAATCTAAGATTTTTCTTCTTATTAATTCTTCCTACTCCTAATAACAACATCCTCTTGCAAATAAATGTTTGAACAAATGAATAAATTAGTCACCTCCTCTTCACTTCGGTGTAGTCTCAGTCCTAGCCATCTCAGTCTACATATGTTTTCTGAAATGAGTTATTTATTTTATTTTCCTGAGTCTTTGTTCCTGTTTTGTCATCTGTAGCAGGTTTAGTTGTTTTCCCCAAAAGATATGACTAAGTTTTAACCCCTTGTACCTATAAATGTGACCTTCTTTGGAGAGACAGTTTTTGTAGATGTAATTAAGGGTCTCGAGATGAGATTATCCTGAATTATAGTGTGTCAAAGAAAAGTTGTACTGGACAAATTAAACAGCCAAAGAGGAGTTTATTCAAGACTATTGCAATGGAGGAGGATGTGCAAGTGCTGGAGTTAGCTAGTGGAAACGTACTGGAGCACATTAGAAAGCATATTGATTCATGTGATTAGGTCAATGTAATGCGTTTGCTGTTTGTCACTTACCTAAGTTAGGCTCCTAGACCTCCCACAGAGACTGGGCAGATGGTGGCTATCTTCCTTGAGGATAACTTTCAAAGAGATGGCTCCAGGTCATTGAGAAAGAAATTCCTGTGTTATAAAACTACCAAGAGGATGGGAGAATATTTATATCTCAAAAGGGCAGACAGAAAATTTACAATTGAAAGTTTTCTAAAGTGAATATTGTGCTAAGAAAGTGGAGGTCAGAGGCCTGTCTAAAGTTTAGGGAAACTGAGGGGAATCTTAAGGCTACCTTGCTCTTGTGGACCTTAAATTCAATGACAGTATTCTTATAAAACATGTCCTTATACTATCAAAACAATTGAACTCATGGACATAGAGGGTAGGATTGTTACCAGGGCTGGGAAGGAAAGTAGGTGGACAGGGAAAAGATAGGAATGGTTAATGCGTACAAAAAAATCGAAAGAATGAATATGACCTACTATTTGACAGCACAATGGAGTGACTATAGTTAAGAATAACTTAATTGTACATTTTAAAATAACTAAAAAAGTGTAATTGGATTGTTTATAACACAAGGGATAAATGCTTCAGGGTATGTATAACCCATTCTCTATGATGTGATTATGCACTGCATGCGTGTATCAAAACATCTCGTGTACCCCATAAATATATACACCTACTGTGTACCCCAAAACATTAAAAATAAAAAATTAAATGTCATTGTAAGAAATAGAACAGTAGAAGACACCCAGAGTCACACAAGGAAAAAGCCATGTGGAGATAGAGACAGAGACAGAAGTGAAGTGTCTACAAGCCCAGGAATACCAAAGAACCAACAGTCACTAGAAACTAAGAGTGGCAAGGAATAAATTTTTCCCCAAAGCTTCTGGAGTATCCAAGGCTGCTAACACTTTGATTTAGAATTTTTTTTTCCTCCAGAACTATGAGAGAATGAATTTCTGTTTATCTAAGCCTCCTTGTTTGTGGTAATTAGTTAAAGTAGCCCTAGGAAACTAGTATACCATCTTTCTTAAAAAGTTTCTCTCTACTGTTCATTTAACTTCAAATGTCAAAATTCTACATCGCATTTAATGCTGACAAAATTGTTTAGTCCTCCATTCCTTTTTCTTATAATCAATAATACAAGCTAAACACCATGGCTTTTTCCTCTGAATTCTTTTGACAATGAAGATGATAAAGATATTGCAGCTGAAACTTCTTTAGTGTTCGATTTATATCTAATTCCTTCTTATTCCTTGTGAAAACATAATAAGGCAGGTGCTATTATTTTTCAATATTAAGGATGAAGAAACTGAAGAACAGAGGGATTAAATAACACTAAGTGGTAGAACCAAACTTTGCCTTGAGATTTGCCTAAGTACAGAGCCCATATGCTTAGACATTTTGCTATGTTTTTTTCTGTTTCTATCCCTGAATGTTTACTTCTCTCATGTCTCATGTTATCTTTCGTTATGTTCTCTATAAATTTTTATTTTCTACCACAAAATTCAACTGAGGTAACTAAGAAATCACAGATGTATAAGCATATTCATTTATTTTTCCCGTGTTAAAGGTCTTTTGATATTATGTTGCCTACATTTTTAAAAATTTAAACACTTCTTGTTCAAGAAAAAATTTTAGGCAATTTCCTTGAACACTTTTAACTTTAAAATGATTTTAAGATTCTGTTTTATTTATCTTTTTTTTAGTATTTTGCACAATTCTTTGAATATCAAAACTGCCCAAATTTCACGGAATGAATTTAGTTAAACCAGTTATCACCCCCTACATGTCCTGTAATTTTCCAGCTTTCTAGGAGCATATTTTTCTGTAATACAGTACTTTAATAGAATGGCTAAAGGCCCTATTCTGCATGCATTAAGAAGCTCAGTGCTTTTCTGCCACACACAGTTTCTGAATATTATTAAGTTGGGAAAGGGCTCCATTTTTCCTGGTTGCCTGTAACTTCCATTGTTTCCTTTTAAACTCCTACTGTCAACTCTACTCTCAGCGTGTCTCCTGAGATTGTCCTCCATTTGCAATACTGGATACTACTCCACTAACATAAGAGTGTTGTGTGGTAGACTCTTATTGCTGGCTTGGAAAATAAAAAGTATTAAAGCATAGCATAGTTTTCATTTATTCATTTAATCATTCAGCAAACATACAAACATTCATTGAATATCTAGTGGCACTGTGTTGGGCACTGAGGAAACAATGGTAAGCAAACAGGCAAAAGTTTCCATGATCGTGTAGCTCATACTCTAGTCAGGAAAACATAAAACTCACACAGGGAGATGATAAATGTGAAATTACAACTTGAAGTAAGTATAAGGATGGAAACGGCCATGGTAGATTGAGAGCTATGGCAATGAGCTTGAACTGAGAGCTGAAAGGTGAGTAGGCATTAACCAGCCCTGCAGCAGGGGTAGAAGAAGGAGAAAGAGAAAGGCATTAGAGAAAGAAATGACAGCATGTGAAAACAAGCAACAGTGGGATGGAACAACATACGTTCCAGCAACTGCAAGAAAGCCTGTGCATTAGGGATACATAGACCCAAGCAAATAAAGGAAATAAATAAGTCTGGAGAAACCAGGCAAAACCACTTTAACAAATGCACAGTTTACTTCAGGTTTCCTTAATAAATGTAACCTTAATCTTAAAGCGAATGGAGAAATAATGAACAGTTTGATGTAGGAGACTGACATGATCCACTTTGTGTTTTGAAAACAATTCTGCCTACTGTATAGAGACAAGAGTAAAGTGGGTAAGGAATGGTGGATGTGGGAATTCTGAACATGAAGGCTTCATCCAGGTGAGAGATTATGGTGGCTTGGTCTAGGGAAGTGATGGTGGGGATTTGAGAAGCCTTTAGTGCACTATAGACCAACAGAACCTGATGAAATGAGGGGACTGTGGTGTGTCAAGAATGTAGAGTACACTGGATTGGGAAAGGCAGAAACCAGAAATAAATTAGTTCTGGTCTTAAAAATTGACTAGATTTTTTTGAATATGGAAATTTCTCACTGGCTGCCTCTTTTTAGGCTCTTCCCTAAGACTTTCTCTTTTACTCCCACATTCCCACTCTCAAAACCACCTTCTATCACCATCTTATTACTTTAAGTGTTCTTGGATTCACACAATTTCTTCATAATGACTTTAATAATGCAATAATTATGTGGATAATTTAACACAAGTCTCCCTTAGTTTGAGGCCCAGCTTTGTACTACCAACAATTTCATTGAACTATGCTAATCTGTCTACCAAAATTCCACCCTTAGTAATACAAAGACTTTGGAAATGTATTGAAGTCACATCATTTTTTCAGCATATCTTAGAACAAATTCTTAGGCTTAGGCTTCCACCAGAACTTCCAGGGTTGTGGAACTGCATATGGGGACGGGCACTTTAATCCTCCTATATGTCATGTCTGACCCTCAAAATTATCAGTTTTAGTGACCCAAGATGGCTTACAAAACCTAAAAGCTAACATACCACAGTCTACACAAAGTAAATACTTCATGTTAACAATGAAGAATCAAAATGCTTGATAATAAATGATGACTTACAATTCTATTTCTGGGGAATAGGAGTACCTATACCTAATGTTGGATTTGTTCTTGTGCTCTTTTGAAGGGAACATCCTTCTGTATCAGAAATTCCCATGTTTCCATATCCAGATTTCTTCACCAAGGCAGATAAAGAGTTGGCAAAAATCATTGACCATCACGTAAGATTGATTTTTTTTTTAACTAGCAGCAAAAGCCTTGTTCTTTAAAAGCACTTTAAATTATAAAATGTAGTTCTGAAACTGAAACCTTAATATGTGAAATTTAAAAGTAGAGCCATGATTGGTTTGCCAAACTGAATTATATCTCACTATGTTATCTGTACACCTTAGTGTCTTCATTGGGTCACAGAAAATTTGACCTTCTGTCATTTGTAAAATACTAGCCTAATCCTGTTTTCTGAATTAGTACCAATTTCTTGTGACAAGAATCTTATATTGAACACTGAACACTGGTTTCTTCTACAGTGTAGTTCTAATAACGGAAGAAAAATCTTTTGGCTCAATTTTCAGTGACCGTTCTTTACCCTTGACAGATCAGAAAGACTGTTAATCACTTTGTTCTTAGTGTGAATTAAAAAAGCAGTGGCAATACAAGACTATTCACAGAAGACACTTCAATTCATTGTGGTATATTTAGTTGATAATTTCTTACCAAATACACATCATTTTATGCCTAGTTCTTTTCAGGAACAGAATTAAAGTATGAGAGGAAATACTTATTTTCTGTTTTTTTTCTTTGAATAAAATATATAGCATACATAATGCACTTAATTTTATCAACAGTAGTTCAATATTATCTCCAGATTGCAATTATATTAACAATTAAGTTTTTCACACTACTTTTAAGTAGTAATCTTGTGAAGATATTATTTTATTTACTGATCACATTAAATAGTTTTTACCACATCACTAGTAATTAAGCCACTCTAGCAACAGCTATAAATACTGGGCTTTGGAGACTGATTGATACCTTGAAATGACAAAATGAGAGCTGCAATATTCTGTTATTCACTAATAAAGTTTTTGTTAAACCAATATATGTACAGGTCATCTTCAAAAATTTCAAATGGCTTATAAATTTCAACATCTATATTTTCCTACTCATTACTTCAACTAAATTGTCTAGAAGAAATTATAAGAGATAGCAATTTGCCAACATCACATACACAAACACACACACACACACGTATAAATAACTACTTTGGTCTGTCTAGGGCTAAAGAAAGAGAAGAGAGTATTATGAATGACAGAGATACAGAGATAGCTCCTAACAACCGTGCATTATCTTTTCCTTTTTCCAAGGGTGTAAGCATTATCCAAGTAATCACTGCCATGAGCCTGCTTATATTGTAGCTAAAGAAGGATAAATAAATCTTTTTCAAAAATATGCTTGAAAACTTACAGATCCAAATTGTTTAATGTGTGGATAGCCTAATAAACTAGTAATTCATAGTACTGATTTTGGAAGGTTTATTGAATTGTCTCTGAATATTATATTTTTTTCAGTATTCATGTACATACCACTTCTTTTCAGATGGGTGTAGCAATAGTGCTTTGTACTTATACTTTATGCTTTACAAAATGCTCTTACAGTAGTTAATTTAATCCTTACAACCCTGTAAAACATTTACCAATAAGAAGAACAAACTTACTTACAATTCAGTTACTTGCTCAATGTTTTAAGTAAATGAGTCTATGCACAAAAACAGATTTCCCTACTCCAAATCTACTTTCCCTTCCACTTTTTCATAGCTGCTCAAGTTCTTGGCTTCTGATTCCTAACCAGAATTAGAAGTGGGAGGGTGGGATCTGCAATATCAACAAAGAACAAAAACACATCCCCTCAGCTATAGATATAATTATCCTTCTAAGCCAACAGACTTTTGTTGAGGGGTTATCATATGCAGGGAATAGAAAATATACCTCATTACTCGGGAGATATTAAGGTACCTTATACATTGCTAGTATTCCATAGCATGATCATTGAATCACTGAGTGAATAAGTTGAATAAAGCAGTAAATGGTGCTTCCACTTCCCATAGATTTCAAACTATCTTTTTTTTTTTTTTTTGCATCCTCCTAGCTACCACAACAGACAATAATAATGGCATATAAAGTCAAAAAATATAATTATTTACCCAAGTCGAAATGTTGTCATGGTCACCAGAGACAAAAAGAAAGTATGCTTTTTCCTAAGCCTAATGAAAAGAAGGATTTTGATGTTATGGTGAATTTCAGCCATTCCAAATTCTAAGAAGGGGGAAAGAGGGAAGAGCTGTCTTCTGGAGAGTGATGATATGATACCCCTTCTTGGCTGCTTTTATATGTATTGATGCTTTTATACATGCTGTTTGGGAAACCAAGAATTTTAACTTACTGGCAGTTCTTAAGAATTAACTCTTTTTGATTTTTCACAATTTAAAAAACAAATAATGAGATCTATTGAAATCTTTCATATAGGATAGATTAGTGCTCTTTGTTTATGGATACTGTCATTATTATACCAACTATAACTTCTATGCTCATAAATTGGTAATTTCTTTAAACAACTAGATTATTAGTTTATTATATGAGAAAAATAATACATCATAGTTGAGTATCATAGAACTTGTAGACTAAACCATAGCATGAATTTTAGCCTGTGCCTTACTGTTCTGGAGGTTTTGCCTTAATTTCCCATATATTTTATGCAAAACTGGTTCCTGAGAAACCAAACGTATGAGTAATAACTGTTTATAAATACAGTCTTAAGATAAGTGCAGTTAACTTTTATATTTCTTATGTAATTAAAACTCAACTGGGAATAAATAATGGATTTGATATTATTATGCTTTTATTTTTAATGTTTACTCTAATATAAGTATATTAACATTTTACAAAATTTTACTGCATTTGTCAAAGCTGAGTGACATGTTATGGACTCTGATGTTTAGCTCTGCTTTTTATTATCTGAATATCCCAGATGACAAACGTTATTTGTGATTCACAGTACTGGTATATATAGTAATCTATAAATTAATTAATAGGTTGCTAATCTCAGACTGATCATTTGTGTATATGCATGAGCTGAGGGTGACAAAAAGACAGCATTGGCAGTATCCTTAGGAACTGCCAATATTTCATACTAGGAGTCATTCTGCCCCGAATGTTTTACCCAGCATAAAGTGTTTACCATCTGTTTTCATCATTTCCTTCATCAAATGTATTAGAAGAGAAAAAAAGTTCCTCCAAATTTTTTTTATATATATATATATATGTATATATATATTTCATGATGATGTTTGATTATCATTACTTACAATACTTGTCACTCATTCTTAGGGCTCATGCCTTCAGATATACTACTATTTACATGACATCGTGGGTTATAAAGTGAAAAACTAAGTGAAAGCAAAAGAAAAAGAAAATAGTATCATGGCCAATTAAGATAAATTCTTTAGAAATTTTTTACTGGTCTTCTGCGTAGTATGCATTTACCTGACCATTAATTTCATTTTTAACTTCATAGAGAGTAGTATTAGAGTTTTTGCCTTTCTGTTTAATTTGTATTTTCTGTATTTTTTTCTTTCTCTTTTGCTTTCACCTGGTTCTTCATTTTATAACCCATGCTGTCATATAAATACCAATATTGATGAAGAAAAAAGTAAACCATTTGGAATACAGAAATATAAAACCTATAATGTCTTCTTTTTAATGATTTTTTTATCTTTAAATATATTGAGGAAATTCTGTTTTGTGGGATTTACATGCATTCTAATAGGTGGCACATATGTTTTGCCAGTGTGGTAGATACAAAATTTTTGAGGAATGTCATGGAAAAAACTAAAAGTATAATTGGATATAAGAATCTGCATTTTGAGCACCTTAATTGATAGGCATTTTTTTCATGGAAAATCATATGTGAATGACATTTTCTCTCTGTAACAGTGGCGGGAAGAGCTAAAGATCCGAGAAAAAGAAGATGCAATATGCAAGGCCCAAGAACTTAAAGATAAAAAGTTAGCAGAGAAAAAACACTTTGAAGAAGTTATGAAGAAAAGAGAAGAGAAACTACATAAGCAAACTAAGCCCTATGAGCTTCCATATAGGAAGGAAGTAATTTAATTAGAAAAGAAAATGCCACCTCCCAAAACTGAGGTCTACATGGCAGAAATACATAGCATGAAAAATACCAAGATAGCTACATAGTAAAAGAACTTCTTGTCATTAAATTGAGGTATTGTTTAGAAAGAACTTGTTATCCTGATACAAGCTGTTTAATAGTTATTTCTTAGTTCTAAATTAATGACCAACTTTTAATCACACTTGAATGAAGTGATTTCACTAGTCAAAAATTTCCAAGACTACATGTAGTATTTTTCTCAATTGACATTTATCTCATGATTGTACAGCATACTTGATAACTGATTCGCAGAACATTGATGTTCATCAAACAGTTTGATGGAAATTCATTATAGATTAATGAGTCACCATACAAGAATTATTTCTTGAAAACAGAATGAGCATAAGCTAACAATCCTGTAATTACTATTATTCAAATAAAAACATTACGGCATCTTACTTGATTGGCATTTTATAATCAATTTATACCAAACCAAACAAACCCTATTTCAGAGATTTGAATACGGAAGGGCTGGTCATCTTAGACTGATTGGCTTGATCTTTAACAGATGCCAGAGGGGACTCCTGAGAGATGCTGGTTTTACTCTGTTCTGTGAGTTTATGAGAATGAATTTGTATGATCCTGGAAGGTCCAGGAGTAACTGTTGAAACCATTCGTACAGATAGGAGTTATTTTAGAAATGGAACTTCACTTCACCTGAAGTTCGGAACCTAAGAGTAAGAGTAACAGGGTGGAGTTTTTGTGATGTCTTATATCCCTTTCCTGAAAACTGAAAAATATAGATAATAATCATACCTCAGTTTCACACAAGTGACTTGGTGATACTCAAGAGACAGGGACTTTAGCAGGGGTGTCAAACTCAAATGACTACCAGGTCAGAAAGGAAACATAAATTAGTGAAGCCGGCTAAGGAATAGCTATCCTATCTAGAGAAATTTCCCACCACTTGGTTGCATTCTGAAATGTATGTCAGTATTGTAAACTCCTCCAGTCTTTCAAGAAGCTTTTAAATGGGATTATTTTTCAAAATAAAAGTAGCTAAGTAACAAAATGTTGACAATAATTTTTAATAGCATATTTTCAAGTTAAGTTTGATCCATGGACCAAAGTTTGTGACCTATATTATGTGAATTCAGGTATCATTCTTTGTTTAAAATAACAATAACAGACGGCAGAAAAATGTTGCGTGTAGGTTGCTGTTTTGATTTCCTGTATAGCTAATTCAAACTTACATTTCTCTTTCTAAACCTTTTATCTTACCCTTGTGGTCTCAAATGGAGACTATGAAAATTCCTAGAAATATCTCCCAATACGCCTTTCCAAATACCTTCCTCCATCTTTGATTTCTTCACTTGTGGGGGGGAAAAAAAAAAAATCTATAGAAGACCAGCCAGTCCCTTTTCTCCAGATCTTATCCTTTCCAAAATCTTGTTCCATCAACTATTCACTATCTTCTCTTAAGTCCCTCTTCATCACTCACTCCTAAACCCATCGAGGTTTCAATTTTCTCCCATCCTTCCGTCCAAACTTCTCTCTCATCAAAGCCATCAGTGACATGAGCCTTACCAAACTCTGAACGTCCTTCTAATTTGTAATCATTTTATTGGTTTGTAGCAAAATGTAACAATTAAGATGTAAGTTTTAGTAAGGGGACTCTGAAGATCTAACTGTTACTTACAAGAATTTCAACAAATCCTGCTCTTTCAGCACCATCTTTGTAAAAGAAACCTGGTATCTCCAATGTCTGAGTCATGGTCCTAAGGCCTCCTCACTGCAGACTTAGGTTTATGTTTTCTCTGCTCTGCTTAGTGTATTTCTACCTGTTCACCTTCTTTCTTTCTTCCACAATTATCTTAATACTTCCAACATGCTATTATCTTTTCTTCTTGTGGATTCATACCTTTTTTAAAGTAACCTTTTTTATATCATAGTGGTGATTTGGTAGGGAGCTAAACAAATCTTTAGACATATGGAGAAAGAAAGAAAAGGAGAGAGAGAGAGATGATTAATCAGAATACTGACACCTTTATTCTTAAATTATTTTTAAAATTCTTAATATTTGGCAACAGGCATTTCTCACGGTGTTTCTCCTATTTCGCTGGTTCTTTCTGCAATATTAGCAAAGACTGTGGGGTGTAGATCTGGAATCACACTCTAGTTACGCTTTCTGCCAGTCACGGAACATTAGGCAAGTTACTGAACCCGTTTTCATTTTCATTTACTCATTTATAAAATTGACACAATTTATGTAAAGAGTGATATCATTTAGAAGCTAATTAGGAAAGAAAACAAACCTGTCAGTCATTTTAGCAGAGAGAATTCAATGTAAGAAATTATTTTCAAAGGTGTTAGTAACTGAATAAATGGAAAGGGAGCATAGCAATAACAGAAACAGTAGCTGCGGGAAACTGCTACCACATTTGGAGCCACGGAATCAGAGAGAAGAGGTTTGCGTTGTTAAAATCTAAGGGATGTAGAAGGCACTTCACACAGCCCGACTCAGATCCCTGATGGGGAGACATTGCTCAGTTATTGCTGGTACTTCTGAGGGGGCGCAATACAATTGGTTCTGGGAGTGCAGAAAAAAGTGAAAACTGAAACAACTTGTATCTTGCTGAAACCACACTGTCAGGAAGAGAGAGAAAACTGGAAGAATCAGGTGTTATCTTCCCTCTCGTCCTGAAACTCTTTCTCTCCTGTGCTTCCTGTTCTTCAGCATCACAAAGCAGAGAAAATAAGGGTAGGTTTGGAGTTGAAAGACACTAGTTAAATAAATGAACATTGTATGGCTTAGAACATTATCTGACCATTCAATAAAAGTTAACTCTCCTTTCTTTTCTTTTGCATCTTGGCCTTGTTTTCTGCTTATTCTGCAAGTTTTCCCAGGACAAAAAAAAAGGTTTAAAACAAAGCATCACCTTTTAAGTTTATATAAATGGCTTAAAAATAAACTTTACTATACTTTATTTTCATAACTAATTCTTTTTTTTTTTTTTTGAGATGGAGTCTTGCTCTGTCGCCCAGGCTGCAGTGCAGTGGCCGGATCTCAGCTCACTGCAAGCTCCGCCTCCCGGGTTTACGCCATTCTCCTGCCTCAGCCTCCCGAGTAGCGGGGACTACAGGCGCCCGCCACCTCGCCCGGCTAGTTTTTTTTGTGTGTGTTTTTAGTAGAGACGGGGTTTCACCATGTTAGCCAGGATGGTCTCGATCTCCTGACCTCGTGATCCGCCCGTCTCGGCCTCCCAAAGTGCTGGGATTACAGGCTTGAGCCACCGCGCCCGGCCACTAATTCTTAATTCTTCCAAAAAGTTCATTTAACACAAATTCAATTGGAATTCTTTTTAATTTATGTTTAGTATTCACTTTGCTTCAAGACTCACAAAGGATTCTATGAGTCATAGACTGGGTTGGGTACCAGATAAATTATTTCAACTACCCTCTTGTTCAGCTTATGATTTCTCAACCTTAGTTTTTTCCCATTCTTCCCACTTAGAGTTGATAGGAGAAAAACAGAGAAAGAGAAAGATTCTACATGTCTGTCTACCTTACATGGCTCTTAGTCATCTTTAAATGCCTCTACTGTTAAAAAGTGTTAACATATCTCAAGTATAAATTTCTATCTAAAACTTGTTTCCATGTTGTTTTATCATTTATGCTTATGTTTATTTTGAAATAATAAACTCAAGACTTCCTACATTTATTTATTATGGGCTTCACAGGTTTTATTATGGGTTTCATAGGTTTATCATGGGTTTCATAAGTTTCCAAAGGTTTCTCTTAGTAACCACAAAAGCAATTTCTCTTCCTCACCTGCTGCCTCATTGAGAATACTCATAAAACTTTTAAATGTTTAAGTTTCACTGGAGTATTAGAATACTGTAGTAAATTCTGAGTAACACAAGCATGAACATAAGCATTTCTCCTGATAGAATTTTGGTTTTTTTGAAAAAAGGAAAGCAAATGATTGACAGTGGTTTGTGGGGCATACCAAAAAGACATTTAAGAAAGAAAGTATCTAAAGCAAATATCTTGACTCATGCATTGATGAGTGGGTGTTTGGAGAAAGGGAGCACACCCAGGTAACAGATAAAAATAACTCACACCAACAGTTTTAGAAACTCTATAATGATGTTGAATAATTGTAATTTAAGTAATTGATTCTTTTGTTTCTACCAGTAAAAACCTTCTCTGTAACTGTCTACTAGTTAGTTACTTTCTGAGTGTCTTTTTCATATTGCTTCTAGTTGAGAACAGTAGTTCTATAGTTTCACTGAACTTTGTTTACAAATTTCAAAGTTAGCTGATTGAGAATTGCTTTGGGGTTGCTTTCAAACATTGTCCAACTGCTCACATACTAAGTTTTCACTTTGTGTCTGCCAGTGACTCTCAATTAAAATCACCATAGGTCTCCTCCAGCTTCTTCACTCCTCTTCACATCTCAATTTGCTGAAGTAAAATGAATAAGAACACCTCTAATTGTCTTATCTGTGATTAATCGATGACACTCGTCACCTCCTCTGTGGGCTAAATATTTAATACAAAGGAAGGTAGAGTCATGAAAATCTGTTGTGCCAATGCCTCTGTAGAAAAGACGTGTAGTAACAAATTCAGTCCACACAGTACTTCTTAACCTCAGGTTGGCCACTGGAGACTAGGTATTTGTAAGGCTCCTTGTAATGATTCTAGTTATTTTATTTGACATGCAGAATGCATTTGGGAACTTAGAGCAAAATGCATTTTAAATTATCATCTTCTATAATATAAATTTATATATTTGTATAGTTTTACAAATTCTGTTGATGAGTTGGTTACTTTTCTGCTACATGCATTTTTCATGGTGACATAGATTTCAAGGATAATTTGGCTTTAATGTTACTCATGCTCACTTTTTCCTGCAATCATTTTAGCTAAGGGACCTATTTACATAATACCTAGTGCCTTGTTATCTTTTTCCTGTTTCACTGAAAAGCCAAAATAAACAAAAATAAAATGTCTTTCCAAACATTTTTTAGTTGGAAGATCCCTGTGATATCCAGCTTTCCAATAACATTTCCCAAGCTGACTCTATTTTGGAAAGGAGGTGAATCATCTTTCATAAATTAATGAATAAGGTAAAGGTCAAGCATCTCAGAATCACCAGTGCAGATTTTTAATACATAGTCAGACTATTGGCAATCCAGTAATGCTTTGAATATTGCTTTAAAACACGAAGAAATAGAAAATCTGAACAAACCAATCTGTTAATCTCTAGCTCCAGCTTTTTGGTTGGCTTCCCAATCAAAAGCTTCCCAATAAAAAAACAATGACTAGAGGATGCATACAGTAGAATTTCTTCCATAGCATACATTCTCCATCATGATAACTATGTCATGAGACTTATGGCCTCATGGGAAGGCATGTCTTAAGGAAGAAAAGACTCAACCTATTCCAGAGACATTATGGAGAGTAAAAAAAATGTTGGGACCTGGTGTGGTGGCTCATACCTGTAGTCCCAGCACTTCGGGAGGCCGAGGTGGGAGAATGGCGTGAATCCAGGAGGCTGAGCTTTTAGTAAGCCGAGATTGCACCAACCACTGCATTCCAGCCTGGGTGACACAGCAAGACTCCATCTCAAAAAAAAAAAAAAAAAAAAAAAAATAGGTGGAGAGATAGATTTAAGGGTGCTTGATGTCCTCACCCTGTATCTCAGGAGAAAGGGTGTGGTCTAGAAACATGTAAATAGATAAGGAGCCTGAATCTGACAGGTTAGTAGCATTAGCTCCTGCAGGACTGAGGAACTAAGTCACTAGGAGAGACAGAGGGATATTGTATGCAAACATTTTCAATGACACATGCAATTGTCAGGATGAGAAGGGAATCAGAGAAGCAAATGATAGGAGACAGGTCTCTGGTATTAGCACATTAAGACCAAATAGACCGAAATTAGATCTACTTCAGTGCACACTATTGAAGAAAGCATACCAGTTTATCCACTCTACAGTTGAGGTCAGGGAGGAGTAAGTGAACATTGGGAAGATTTAAGGACCCAGGCTCCCATCTACTTCCTTATACAGACCAGACCTCTCCCTATAAATCCAAATGCCATATTGGAACAGAGAATGGAGGGGAGAGGAATATAAAAGCGAAAACAGCTATCCTAAAGAAAGCAAGTTAATATTTAAAAGATCTCTTGATTTTCTAGCTTTGAATCATTTTAAAACTGAGTTACTGAGTTTCATCTTGGCCTGGCTCCAAGAAAACCAGCGGAGGGAGTCTCATGAGGAAGAACTGAATGGTTTTCTAAACCCCCAGAAATTAATTTTCTTTTTATAGTTAAAATGTGGTATAAAATTAAATTTGCCTCTTTGCAACATATATATGAACTAGCATTTCACCATATAGATATAGAATTAGAGATACATGTTCTAAACATGTATGCATCATCTAATATATACAATCACTCATTCAGAAAATATTCGTTCATTGTCTGCTGAGCTCCAAATACTCTTTTAGTCACTGGGGATATATCAATGAATCAATGAACAGGACAGAAAATATAATATTGTATATATTAAAAATAATGCACTTGTGTGTGTGTAAAACAAGCAAAAAATAACAATATGATATAATCTGAGGTAGAGACAAGTGAAGAACAAAAATAACAGCAGGAATGACCTTTCTAAGGATTTTGACAAAGACCAGAATGAAGCAAAGAGTGAGTCATCTGACTTTCAGAGGAAAGAGCATTCCCCAAACTCTCAGTAGCAAGTGAAAAATTGATAGGGTAATGAATGATTCATGCTTTTTGCTAAATATTTCTGCTTCTCCCTCCTTTGAGATTCATAGAAGTGTTTTCTATTTTCTGGGCCCATTGTGTTGCGGTGGGCCATATGCTTATTTCTGATCAATGATTATGAATGGAAGCTATGTGTGTCACTTCTGGGCTGAAGTATTTACTTGTTGGCTTGGCAATTTACAGTATCTTTTTCCCTTTAGAATAATAATTCCCTTTAGAACAATAATTTCTGTTCCAAATAGTGAGTCCCTCTCACCCTTGGCTCCCTTAATAAGAATGATGGAACTGAGATGGAAAAACTTTTCTGTTTTAAGTGTTTGAGATTTGAGGAGTTACGTATTACTACACATAGCCCAACATATCCTGATGGAATGGGAGTGAGTTTAGAATGTTCAAAGAAAGCAAAGAATCCTGCAGAGCTGAAGAAGAGGCCCCAGAGGGACGGAGAGGAGATGAAATTAGAAAGGTAAGTTTGGTCCAGATTATGCAACAATGGAAGTCACGGTGTGTCAGGGTTCTCTAGAGGTACAGGACTAATAGGATAGATGTATATATGAAAGGTAGTTTATTAAGGAGTATTGACTCATGAAAATAGATTTAGAAACTTAGAAACCTTTAGAAACTTAGAGACCTATAGATTTAGAAACTTAGAAACCTTTAGAAACTTAGAGACCTATAGATTTAGAAACTTAGAAACTTTTAGAAACTTAGAGACCTATAGACTTAGAAACTTAGAAACCTTTAGACTTATAGACTTAGAAACTTAGAGACTTAGAAACTTAGAGACTTAGAGACTTAGAAACTTAGAAGCTTAGAAAAGCCACACCAGGTGGCCATCTAAAAGCACCCACCCAATGACCAGGTGGCCATCTAAAGCACCCACCCAATGACCAGGTGAAGCATTCTCCAAAGCACCCGCCCGATGTCCGTGTGGCTATCTAAAACACCCACCCAAATTCCTGGAACTCAAACAGAAGAACAAGTCCGGAAATACCCCGCTGAAGTCTAAACCAGGTTCAAACTAACCAATCAGAGTAAGACACCTTGTCAGGCCATGTAATCTG